CACTGCGTGGATGAAGGGCGTGATTCATTGTCATTATTTTTCTGGTCTGCCTATCCATTGCTTTTAGTTCTGCTTGAGTCCAGTCCACTATTCCAGCTGTGTACCTAATGACTGGGATTGCCCAGGTGTTGATTGCCTTTATGGTATTTCCTCCATTGAGTTTGGACTTTAAGATCTTCTTCACTCTCTTGATGTATTCACCTCTAATCTTTTTCTTGACTTCAGTGTGCTTGATGTTGTCAGCTTGAAGGATACCCAAGTATTTGTAGTACTCTTCCTCATCCAGACTCTTAATGTTATTTTCGTGGGGCATCTTGATTCCTTCAGTTTTCACTATTTTCCTTGTTTGATAGTAAGTGTGGCACATTTGTCCAAGCCAAACTCCATTACAATATCTTGGCTATATATACGGATAGTGTTGAGCAGCGATTCTATTTCAGATGATGTTTTTCCATACAGCTTCAGATCATCCATGTAAAGGAGGTGGGATAGTCTAGCAGATGTTTTTGATGTTTGATAACCATGTCCTGAGTTATTCAGTATTGTTGACAGAGGAAAAAGTGCAATAACAAATAGTAATGTTGATAATGAATCTCCTTGAAATATTCCTCTCTTGATATTAACCTCTCCCAGCCTCTCACCATTGATCTGCAACTGTGTATTCCATTGTGCCATCGATCTTTGCACAAATTTTCTGATGTTTCTACTGACTCCTGTTATTTCTAGGCACTTTATTATCCAATCATGTGGCAGAGAGTCAAATGCCTTTTTGTAGTCAATCCATGCCACATTCAGGTTGGTCTTCCTTCTCTTGCAGTTTTCCAAAATCATTTTGTCTATTAGGAGTTGATCTTTTGTTCCTCTGCTATTGGGGCGGTTTCCTTTCTGCTCAGATGGAAAGAGATTGTTTTCAACTAGATGCTGTTGTACTGCATCAGCTATCACACCAGTTAGTAATTTGAAAGTTGTTGGTAAGCAGGAAATTGGCCTGTAGTTACCTGGTGTTGCCCCTTTTGCTGGATTTTTCATTATTAGGTAGGTTTTTCCAGTTGTTAGCCACTTTTCAATTTCTCCTCCTTGTAGTATATTGTTGAACTGTTTGGCAATGAGTGGGTGTATAACAATTAGATGTTTCAACCAAAACCCATGCAGTTCATCTTCACCTGGTGCTGACCAATTTTTGATTTTCTTTGCTCTTTTTTCTACCATTTTTGTTGTTATTACTAGTTCTTTCATTTCAACTTCTGTTTTATTTGCATCCACCCCTTTTAACCAAGCCGCATCCTTGTTGTATTTCTTTGGGTTATCCCATATTTGCTTCCAGAACTGCACTGTTTCTTCCTTGTCAGGTACTGACTGATTCCTTGCAGTTTCTCCATTGATGGATTGGTAGAAATGTTTCTGATTGGATTGAAATTGGTGGTTCTGCCTATAGTTTGCAATTCGAGCTTCATATCTACTGATTTTCCTGGCTATAGCTGTTATTTGTTGCTTTATTATTTCCAATGCTTCCTTGATCTTCCTTGTTTCTAAGTGGTATTTCTTGATTAGGTATTCTTTGGTCTTCTTGTTCTTCAGCTTCTTTTCTTTCATCTGTTCTAGCTTGCTTGCATGTGATCTTAACTTGCTGATCTTATTTTTTAGTCTAACCTTCCATTTTTCTGGTGCACTGTTTGTTTGTTTTTCTTTTTGTTGATTTTGCATCCCAGGTATTCTGTTATAACTGCAGCTGTGCTGTACATTAGTTGGTTTGTTTCTTGCAGTGAATTGGTGCTTATACTTGATATTGCAGTATTTGCATCTTTTAATGCTTGTGCTAGCTGTTTCTTTGGAACAAGCTTCAATGCAGGTAGCCTTATTCTGTTGTTTTTGTGCTGTTATAGATGCTCAGTTATTCTTTGTTTCAATTCTTTTATTTCTTTAGTTAGAGGGTTTTGTTCTTCCTGAGGTGCCTGGTTTCCAAATGAGAACAGTTGTATATCTCTGCTGGATTCCTTCACTGCCAAATCCCCCTGGTTTGCCTCTACATTCTGAATTACTTCTGGTAAGGCTTTGATTTCTTTGCCCTGGGTAAACCTTTGCAGTTCGTCCAATTCTGTTTCTGTAAATACTTTATTTCGTGTTATAAATCGGCGTTGATCTGCTAGTCTCTGTTCTTTTATTTCTGATTCTGGATGTTGTTCTTTCCAGAATTGGTGCATTCGTTTTAGATATCCTCTTCTTGTTGGACTTGATCTGTAGTAACAGATCATTATTTCTTTGTTTTCCATCACTGTGTATCTGGGACGGGTAAACACCTTTTCTTCCAGTAGTTCTGCAGCTGCTGGCCCTGGTTGCTCAGCCAACAGTCCTGAGTCCTGTAACCCATTTTTCACCAGATATCCAGGAACTCCAATATCTAGTGCGGACCTTGTTAACCCGGGCGACGTCCGAGCCGGTATGGCATTCTGCAATTTACGTCTCACCATATTTTTTATGGGAGAGACACTCTTTGTCTGACTACTCTGATGAGACCTGTCCAGTATGGTTGAACCTCTGGCATAGCTCTCATCTTCCTCAGAGTACACAAGCCCCACAACCACTATTATTATTATTATTATTATTATTATTATTATTATTATTATTATTATTGATCATCGCACAGTCAGCCAGATGTTCAGATTGGTTTTGGCATTTTGTCTACCTATCGAGTCCTTACCCAGGACCTGGGATAGGCAGATGTGGATGTTTGATGGTATTACAGATATTGTCGCAGAATGGAAACAGTTCCTAGTAAGGCCGCCTTTTGCGATTGACTAATAGCGAATTTGTCAATGCCAATGGAGTTCAAGTGATGCTCCAGTTGTTTTGGGATTGCATCACCATCATCATCATCATCATCATTATTATTATTATTATTATTATTATTATTATTATTATTATTATTATTATTATTATTATTATTATTATTACTATTATATTTCACTTCTCATCCAAGAAGCTTCTTCCATAAAGCGAAAGTCCAGTTGCCTTTTGAAAAAAAGCACCTTTGGGACCAGCAAGGATTTAGCCTTCAGCCCAGCTGGTTTTCTGCCAACTCTTTCACCACTGTCCCCCCTTTTCAGAACCAGCTTGGAGGTCACATCAACCAGACTCTGCCCCCCAAAAGCTTCCATGCCCTTTTCATATCCTCGCCATTTAGACCAGGAGACGCTTTAGAAACTCAGAGAAATGTGTTCCGCCCTATTTGCAGAAAAGGCAGGCAACAGGATGGGTGGGTGACAGAAACTCCGACGTTGACGAGAAAGGATATCACTGGAGGAAAGGCAAGGAAACTGGAGTGGAGACCACTCGGCAGGCACGGCAAAAAGGGAAATCAATGTTTCGTGGTTATATTGCAGAATTTAGAAGCTGCCGGCCTTCTGGAACAGTGTTTCTCAACCTGGACAGCTTGACAATGTGCGGATTTCAACTCCCAGGATTCTCCAGCCAGACAGTTGAAGTCCATGAATCTTAAAACTGGCAAGGATGAGAAATATTGCCCTGGCCACATTATCACCAAAATTTAATTTACAGTTTCCTTCTGCATGAAAGGTGGCTCCAAATATGTAGGATGTCTGTCTGTCTGTCTTTCTATCTGTCTGCTAATCCATCCATCTATCATCTATCCATCCATCCATCCATCCATCCATCGTCTCTCTCTCTCTCTATTTATCATCTCTATCATCTCTCTTTCTATCATCTCTCTCTCTCTCTCACTCTCTCATCTCTCTACCTCTCTATTTCCCTCTCTATCCCTCTCTCTCTATCATCTCTATCATCTCTCTCTCTCTTTCTATCATATCTCTCTGTCTCTCTTCTCTCTCTCATCTTTCTACCTCTCTATTTCTCTCTCTCTTTATCATCTCTCTATCATCTCTATCATCTCTCTGTCTTTCTATCATCTCTCTTCTCTCTCTCTCTCCCTCTTATCTATATTGCCAAAACAAGTAGACACACAGACAATCTGCTTCACTTTGATGAATAGCTAATTCTCAGAGTGCTGTCTTATGTCTAAGGATATTTACCCAGGTAGTGTGGCTGTAGCACTATTATTATCCTTTTAAATCTTCTTTAGTCCCTCTTCTTATTGGTATTATTATTTTGATGGTTATTATTACTCTGTTGCTTTGCATGTACACTGAAAGCTTCTGCACCAGAGACAAATTGCTTGTGTGTCTAATCACACTTGGCCAAATTAAGTCTGTTCTGTTCTGTTCTGTTCCGTTCCGTTCCGTTCCATTCCATTCCATTCCATATTTTCTACTCTACTCTACTCTACTCTACTCTACTCTACTCTACTCTACTCTACTCTACTCTACTCCACTCCACTCCACTCCACTCCACTCCACTCCACTCCATTCCATTCCATTCCATTCTATTCTATTCTATTCTATTCTATTCTATTCTATTCTATTCTAATTCTATTCCATTCCATTCCACTCCATATTTTCTATTCTATTCTATTCTATTCTATTCTATTCTGTTCTGTTCTGTTCTGTTCTATTCTATTCTATTCTATTCTATTCTATTCTATTCTAATATAATTCTATTCCATTCCATTCTACTCCATATTTTCTATTCTATTCTATTCTATTCTATTCTATTCTATTCTATTCTATTCTATTCTATTCTATTCTATTCTATTCTATTCTATTCTATTTGTAATTTTATTCTGTTCTGTACTGTTCTGTTCTATACTGTACTGTTATGTCCTGTTCTACCCTACCCTACCCCACCCCACCCCACCCCACCCCACCCCACCCCACCCCACCCCACCCCACCCTACCCTACCCTACCCTACCCTATCCTATCCTATCCTATCCTATCCTATCCTATCTTTAATTCTATTCTGTTCTGTTCTACCCTATGCTACCCTATCCTACCCTACCCCATCCTATCCTGTCCATGTCTCTAATAAAAGGCAATAAGCAGTTGAATCACACAGTTACTTTATAAGAGATCAGTGCATTGAAGTCTTCATCAGTGGTTTTAAATGTAGCCTTGGGTGGAAACGTAGACTCTGCTTCCCTTTGCCTTTCCTTTGCATGCCTCACCAGCGCCATCCTGCCCTCACAGGAGCCTGCTCAGAATAATGCAGGCAGAGCTGATGAAAGCTACCATGGCCATCTGGGCACCGTTGGTTGGGGAGGCGGAGGTGCCACCTACATTGCAGAGGTCGCTGGAACAGCAGGAGACATTCCTTCTGACAATCAGCATGTCTTTGTAGTACGTGGTGCACGATGAAGCACATTCCTTGGAGACGATGCTGAGCAACCCTATCAGTTCTGGAAAGAAGATTGACGTGGTTATTGAGGAGTCCCAGATGGAGGCCAGGCTACCCACCCCACCTTATGGGGTAAGGCAGGGTGCCAGGCATTCTGGAGGATGTGCGTTGACCACAGTAACTCCCTAGCAGGTAGCTAGCGGGGCAGGATTTGTAAATCCAAAGGAAGAAGAAGTTTGAGACTTTCCACCTCTTGTCCTACTGGGTCATCCCCGCCCATAGGAGAGAATATTTGCAGCTCAGGGTGGAACAGTGGGGACCTCGGTACTCTCTGAGCTTGGTGGTTTTCTTGCAGATGTTTCATGACTCAACTAGGGAACATTGTCAGTGCTAGTAAAAAGTGGGGTTGGAGGAGGAGGAGGAGAAGGAGGAGGAGGAGGAAGACAGTGGGATCTTGGTTCTTTCTCTCTGTTTGGTGGTTTTATTACAGATGTTTCATGACCCAACTAGGCAACATCATCAGTGCTAGAAGGGAGTGGGGTGTGTGGAGTAAAGGAGGAGGAGGAGGACGAGGAGGAGGAGGAGGAAGAAGAGGAAGAGGAGGAGGAGGAAGACGACAGTGGGATTTTGGTTCTTTCTCTGAGTTTGGTGGTTTTCTTACAGATGTTTCATGACCCAACTAGGCAACATCATCAGTGCTAGAAGGGAGGAGGAGGAGGAGGAGGAGGAGGAGGAGGAAGAGGAAGAAGAGGAGGAGGACAGTGGGTTCTTGGTTCTCTCTGTTTGGTAGTTTCCTTGCAGATGTTTCATGACCCAACTAGGCAACATCATCAGTGCTAGAAGGGAGTGGGGTGTGTGGAGTAAAGGAGGAGGAGGAAGAGGAGGAGGAGGAAGAAGAGGAGGAAGACAGTGGGTTCTTGGTTCTCTCTGTTTGGTGGTTTCCTTGCAGATGTTTCATGACCCAACTAGGCAACATCATCAGTGCTAGAAGGGAGTGGGGTGTGTGGAGTAAAGGAGGAGGAGGAGGAGGAGGAGGAGGAGGAGGAGGAGGAAGACAGTGGGATCTTGGTTCTTTCTCTCTGTTTGGTGGTTTTCTTACAGATGTTTCATGACCCAACTAGGCAACATCATCAGTGCTAGAAGGGAGGGGGTGTGTGGAGTAAAGGAGGAGGAGGAGGAGGAGGAAGAAGAAGAGGAGGAGGAGGAGGAAAACAGTGGGATCTTGGTTCTTTCTCTCTGTTTGGTGGTTTTATTACAGATGTTTCATGACCCAACTAGGCAACATCATCAGTGCTAGAAGGGAGTGGGGTTTGTGGAGTAAAGGAGGAGGAGGAGGAGGACAATGGGGTCTTGGTTCTCTGTTTGGTGATTTTCTTCCAGATGTTCCATGACCCAACTAGGCAACATTGTCAGTGCTAGTAGAGAATGGGGTTTGAAAAGAGGAGGAGGAGGACAGTGGAGTCCTCTCTAATCCTGCTTATTTTCTTGCAGATGTTTGATTACCAACCTACTTAACATCATCAATAGTAGAAGGGAGGGGGGTTATGAAGTGGAGGGAGGAGGAGGAGGAGGAGGAGGAGGAGGAGGAGGAGGAGGAGGAGAAAGACGATGACTCTGCGGTCCTTGGTGTTTTTTCTTTTAGACATTTCACGGCCCAACTAACGAACATCACCACTAGCAATAACTTCCAATCACTGATAATGTTACCCAGTTGGGTAATGAAACATCTGCAAGAAAAACATCAAGCTCAGAAAGCATCAACGACTTCACACTCCTCCTCTTCCTCCTCCTCCATACATCCCACTTCATTCCAGCACAGAGAAACATCAGTCTAGCAAGGAATAAAGTGTGTAAATATTTGTATGTATCCCTAACAGCAGAGATGAGATCCGTGGTGCTTGCTGAGCTTGGTGGTTTTCTTGCAGACGTTTTAAGAGAAAGAGAAAGAGTGAAACAGAGAGAGAGAAAGAGAGAAAGAAAAAGAGACAAGGAGAAAGAAAGAGAGAGAGAGAGAAAGAGAACAAGAAAGAGAGAGAGAAAAAGAGAAAGAAAGAGAGACAAAGAGAGTGAGAAAGAGAACAAGAGAGAGAGAGAAAGAGAATAATAAAATGAAAGAGAGAGTAAAACAGAGAAAGAGAGAAAGAGAGAGAAAGAATAAGAAAGAAAGAAAGAGAAAAAGAGAGAAAGAGAACAAGGAAGAGAGAAAAAGAGAACAAGAGGAGAAAGAGAGAGAGAGAGAAAAAGAAAGAGAGAAA